TTCCACCATCATAACCAGGTTTGGTCCACCTTACATTCACTGATGATGCTTGGATATCATGGTCTAGTATCGTGAATTCGGGAGGGCCTGGTGGAACTAATTTGAATTGAAATGAAATGCAATGAGATAACTATTTCCCTCTATTATTTGAATCAAATAAACGTTATACTTGTTTCATTATAATTGCAGGACCTCTCTGAAAAACACCTTGGTGATGAGAGCTTCCTGTATAAACATTGTTATTATTATTATTCATTATTATATTGTGTTTGTGTTCCTTTAAAATGTTGTTTATATATAATGCGAATAAGCCTTTTCATAGTTTAAGAATATATTTTACTACGCATGCGATTTTATCCCGAATTTCTCACCACCTTTTGTTTAATTAAGAACAAAAGAAGGTTTAGACAAAAGAAGGCGGGATAAGTTCGGGATAAAATCGCATGCGCAGTGGAATCGATTCTTAAACTATAAAAAGGCTTATTTTGTTTAACCTATTTATTAACCCTCCGTGCATGATTGACTGGYGCAGTTCAGTGTTASTGACATAGAGAAYATCACGCAGACGAATTGTTATTGGTACGTCCAGATTCAATTTCTTTCATTACGTTGTTAAACATTATGTATTCATCACCTTTACAGATTCTGAATATTTTCGTCACACATTTTGATACTTACACAGCTGTGAAACACTAATAAAATGCTCATCCTCTGCCAGCAACGTTTGCAGCTTGACATTTGTAGAACCCATAGTCTGCACCGCACTCTGTTGTTTTTACTCTCACTTGACTACCTTCAGTTAAATTCTTAGCACCACATAATATTTGTTGACCACTGGGTTTGTACCACGTKAMGTGTGGTTGGGGAAATYCATCTACAATGCACTTGAGTGTCATCATGTTACCATTCCAGGAATTTAGGCTCCTTGAAGAATTCGATGCGCTAACTACTGGCTTGTCTAAAAATGAAATRATACAAATAAGGATAATGATTGTACGWTGGAATTTTTTTCAACTTTGAATTGTCTGTTGCTGTTTACAGTTTAGAGTAGCAGATATAAGACTGTATCGATTAAGAAGCTGAAGGATCGATTGGTAYGTCGGTTTACTGAATTTTAATAACGTTGATGATGCTATRGAAAAAGATAAWACAGGCTATGTGATTGTCTAAAACATKCTGATTTACCCTTGGTTTTTAATGCATGACATGACTGTTACYTGCAGTGGAGTTAAGTTAAGCAATTTCTACGTCTAATGCCTGTTTTAAAAGTTCCACGTTTAAAYGGGGCCTAAGAAATTAAGCWTCTTGTGCATACTCACAGTAGACTGATACACTTGTCCTCGTAGTAGTTGGATCCTCGTTTGGGTTGTTTTTAGCCTGGCACTCATATAGTCCAGCATGGTAACGACTAATGTTATCTATRTKTAGTACGACACTTCCTAATCCTTGGCTGTGTGTAACAACACTACCATCTTTGATATACACCCATGTGATGTTCGGTGTTGGTGGACCAATAGCTGTGCAGTTTATCTTTAAATTCTCTCCCTCGATAATGTGGTAAGTTGTCATAGGATGATTCGGCAAAAATGTCGGATGCACTTAAAAAA